GGAGCTGGAGTCTCATCAGGGCTACTACACCAGCCTGGTGCAGAAGTCCATGGGCCAGAGCAGCCTCGCCACCGAGGAGATCGAGCGGGACCTCCACCGCTCGCTGCCGGACCACCCTGCCTTCCAGAACCCCACCGGCATCGCTGCACTGAGACGTGTCCTCACCGCCTACGCTCACCGCAACCCTAAGATCGGATACTGTCAGGCAAGAGAAACATCTCATCAACAAGTTCACTTCTTCTCTGCGACGCCTCTGGTTTTATTTCTTCTTTGTAATTTTGTCAAAATCAGTGGAAAATATTTTAATACACTTTCATTTTGAAATGTATTTGTTATGGATTTATCTGTCATGTACTCTGATTGTGTTTTCTTGTGTTTGTGTAAAATCTTCCTCTCGTCTCTTTCCGTTCAGTCCATGAACATCCTGGCGTCGGTGCTGCTGCTTTACGCCAAAGAGGAAGAAGCGTTCTGGCTGCTGGTGGCTGTTTGTGAGAGGATGCTGCCCGACTACTTCAACCGCAGAGTCATAGGTGAGAGGTCAGGAACAAAAAAAAAATTATAATAGTATATAATAATGTAAACACAGTTGGAGCTAAATGAACAGGAGCTGCTCCTGGGTTTAAAAGCACACAACTTAAAATTGATGAAACCATTTCATGCTTTGTACGACTCTGTAATGTCGACCTCCCCTCTTCTTCTTTTTATATATTCAGGTTGTTTCGTTTCAGCTCAGACACCAAATGAACGTAACTTTCAGAATCCAAAATAAGAGCTTATTTCCTGTGTTTGTGAAGCCGCATATTTTCGACACGCAAGGTGCATTCGAAGCAATTTCCTGTTCCTGTTAATGTCCAGATGATTGTGAGCATCTGTTCAACTGCAGTAATTGAGTTCCTTGAATTTGCTCATGGATGTGACACTTTTTTTTTTAGCATCAATAATTTCCCTCCTCTGAACTTTACAGACAAAAACAACATTGAATTTCAGTCATTAACGACAGTGTGTGTGTGTGTGTGTGTGTGTGTGTGTGTGTGTGTGTGAAGCTGGATTTAGAATCAGAGAAGACGGGTTAAAGTGTTTATATGATTGAAACAGGATTTGCCTCTGATAGTTATTGTAGTCGTGCTCTGCAGCATGTAAACATCAGACTGTGGTGAACAGTCAGTATGACTTAATGAGATAAATTGTTTTTGTCTCTCTTGACTGTTTATAATTTAGATGAACTGGTGAATTCATATCAACCATATGTCGTATCTGCAAATTAACAGCACTCAGACTCATTGACAAGCTTTTACTGCCATCTGCTGGTCAAAGCTCTGAAAAACAGCAGTTTAGAAGAGAGGATATTGAAATTCCACAGACGGAGAATGAGTTTTGATGAGTGAATGAATATTTCTTTTATCCCCCCCCCCCCCACTGCAGGAGCTCAGGTGGACCAGTCCGTGTTCGAGGAGCTGATCAGGGAGCGTTTGCCGGAGCTGGCCGAGCACGTTCCCGACCTCTCCTCCCTCTCCTCCGTCTCCCTCTCCTGGTTCCTCACCCTCTTCCTCAGCGTCCTGCCCTTCCACAGCGCCGTCTGCGTGGTCGACTGCTTCTTCTTCCACGGAATCAAGGCCAACTTCCAGCTGGGTTTGGCCGTGCTGGACGCCAACGCCGCTCAGCTCTCCGCCTGCACCGATGACGGACAAGCACTCATGATTCTCTCAAGGTGGATTTACTTTCTGTTTTAGGAGGAAAGGAAGATTGATTTTGTTGCACGTTCATGAATTCCAGTATTCAGATAAGTTTTAAGCGATGAAATGTCAGACTGTGATTCCTCTGCTCTGCAGTTTTCTGGAGCAGGTTGGAAGTGAAGCGTCGCCGTCCCCTCCGTCGTCCCCTCCTTCGTCACCGCTCGCTGCGGACGAGAGCAGCCGCAGAGACTCTGATGTTCCCATTGTTCACGCAAACATCACCAACCTCATCAATGAGTCGTACGAGGTGAGAAACACGCGGATATAATGTCGTGTGAGGCAGATGTTGGTCGTTGTTGTCCTGGTTCACTATGTTTGGCTATTTTTGGTGAGTTTCAGTGAACCAACACATCCATCTCTGTTACTGTGTTTTCTCTCGTCAGAAATTCGGAGACCTGACAGTGCGGCACATTGAGCGGCTCCGCTGTCGACACAGGATCCGGGTGCTGCAGGCTCATGAAGACACCACCAAAGAAAACGCGGTGAGCAAACAGACTGTGTTTAAATTTGAGGACGTGTCAAAGTCAAAGGTTTTCATCATGTAATCCGTCCCATCTTTACTTTCTGTCGCAGTTAAGATTGGTGACTCCAGATGTTTCCATCCCTACAGAGAACTTGTCCGACGTCTACGACCTCTTCAAGGTATCAATCAATCAATTAATACCCTTTATGTCAAATGATGGGACGTGTCTACGAGACTCCGTCCATCTTTCTTTCTTCTTTCCTCCTTCACGTCGTCTCTTCTCAGACCGAGCACTTCATCAGCCTGTACTGGGGCGACAGCAGCTCTGTGGCAGCGGCGGAGGCGGCAGCGTGGAGCTACGTGGACTCCGGGTGCTCCTACCTAGAGCGGCAGTACCGGCTGGACCGGCCCCAGTTCAAGAGCCTGTACGGGCTGCTGGTGCCGTGGCCCGGGGACTCGAACCAGCACATGGACACGGTGGCGAACCGCACCTTCACGCTGCTGGACCAGGACCAAGACAACCTGGTGACGTTTCGAGAGTTTGCCGGCTGGCTGGGTAAGATGACGGCGGACAGAAACTCGTCCGTCCGCAGAGTTTGAAGATTGAAACTGACCCTGTGTCCTCGTTTTCAGACACTTTGTACTGTGAGGAGCTGAATGAGAAAATCCGGCTCCTCTATCGCCTCCACATCCCACCAGGTCGTTCACTCTGTTCATGAAGGACAAGTTTGACTCTGCAGTCAGAGCTGACGAGGGATTAACTCTGTTTGTGTCTGCAGCTCTGACAGAAAGTGAGGATGACCCCGCTCTGATGAAGAGTCCCCTGCTCTCCACCAACAGACCCCTCTGTGTTCATAAGGCCCCAGGTCAGTATAAATGAAACAACATTCTTATTGCACCTTTCAACAGACCCAAGGATTTGAGGGACAAGGACATATTTAAGGGGACGGAGACATGGTGGAGTGATTTTGGACAGATTCCATCAAGTCGGGTCAGGCTTAGTTTTTTGAATGTCCACGTACGGCAGGTCAAGACATTTATAACCTCTAACCAACTTAATCTTGCTCACGTTGCGTGCGTTCACAACTGTCGGGTTTCCGCTACAATCATTTTACACGCTTCAGGATCAGGGGCTGTCCTGGGATCAGTTGGAGGTGATGAAGACGTCTTTAAGTGATGTTTAAAAATGCAAGAAATAAGGAGACTGTGACTGTTCCAGGAGCGGAAAGTGAAGTGAAAGAAGATTATCAGGAGCAGCTGAAGCGGATGCTGCAGGATTTGGCCAAAGAGAAGGAGAAGGATGTGAAGAAACCTCTGCCGCTCATGAACCAGGTGAAGTTTCAGAGGAGCTTCTTTGTTACAGAGTCTCTTTGGCAAACTTCAAAAAAAAAAAATGTAACCTCCTCTTCGTCTCCTCCTCCACAGTGGGAGTTCATCCAGTTCTGTAAAACCCTCTACAGCATGTTCCACGGCGACACGGAGGAGAACGACCTCTTCCAGGCCATCGCCACCGTCACCAGCCTCGTGCTGCAGATCGGCGAGGCCGGCCACCGCGGGCTCGGCTCCTCGGGGTCGGAGGTCGACGGCCAGGAGGAGGTGGATGATAAGGAGTGGACGATCAGCTTCGCTCAGATCCTGGCGTCGCTGCTGACCGAGCAGGCGCTGGTGAACTTCTTCGAGAAGTCGGTGGACCTCGGGGAGAAAATCTCCGAGGCCAAAGAGAAGCAGTATCAGCAGCGGGCCGGTTTGCTCACGCTGCAGCGACGGAGCAGCTGACTGACGTGTGAACACTGGACTGTGGGGCGGAGATTCAAAGCCACATTTCTTCAGTATCATTGGACTGAATGTGCAGCAGCTTCTAACTCAGAAGCTCAAGAGCCTTAAAGTGACGTCTACTTTATCACTTTATTATCAAACCGCTGTGGAAAACTGAAGATCTTCAACAACAGCAGAAACGACTTTTATAATATTTTGAGTCGAGACAGTTGCAGGTCATTTTGTGCCGCGAGCACCGAGAAAAATAATCTGCCACCACTTTTATTTAAAAGGCACCGCTTATAAAGTGTTTATTAAATGTGACTAATACCGGAAGGATCATTTACTAATGCTTCATTGGTCGGTTAATCATTTAATTAACTTCGCTGATGTCAGATTGTGACTCATTGACAGTCAGACATTAATAAAGGTTTCTAATAAAGCATCAAGTCTGTTGTCATAAATGTCCCAAAGTCATTCAGAGCTGTTTTCTCATGTTATACTAATCCAACAACCACAGTTATTAAATGTAACCTGCTGTTATACATGTGAATCATTTCATAGTAAAACTACTAAAGAGTTTAAAAAAGATGATCAGATTTAAACACTCAACATTAGTATGTGATAAAACTCAAACCTTTTATAATGGCTGCCTTATTAGAGTTTGTAATAATAATCATTTCATCATTAACGGCGTTCCTTCTTTTTACTACTGATTTTTGTAACTTTTGATATAAAAATGTTTTCACTCACTTGCTCAGAAGATCATCTGCGTCAGAAACACTGGAAGATGAAATAAAATCACTGCATCAAGACACTTTCAGTTTGTTGTTGTTTCCATTGCGTCGCTTGATATATTTGTTTTGTTTGTTTGTCGTCAGGATTAAACAAAACCTGCTCGACAGATTTCCACGAAACTCGGTTGAAAGATGCGACAGGGTTCAAGAAAGAACCCATTCAGTTCTGGTGTGGATCCAGGATTTCTTTCACCCACAATTCATTCATTGCAACTTCCACAGTGATTAAAAACACAAAGTGAGAGAGGAGGCGGAGCTGCAGGAGCTTGTGTGCTTTATTAGCTACTGATTAAAGGTAGAGGACCTAAATCATGGGAGGAAACAAAACACACGTTCTACTACTGAGCAGCCTTCAGTGTAGAGGAGGGAAGACTGAGGCTCGTCTCATGCAACTCTTCAGGAGTGGCTTCATCATGGAGGAGGTAGATGTTAACTGACTCCTTGTTCGTTTCTTTTTAATCTCATCATTTCCTTCTTTCTCTCCAGAGAACTTCCATTAAAACTAAAACTGAGAACTACTAGAGCCCATCGGTTTTTCTTTTTGAGGACAAACAAAAAATATGTTTTAAATATATATTATTACTTTTTTTTTTTTTTTTAATTTACAAAATAAAGGGCCAGGACGTATGTTAGGGTCTCTTGCTTTTCCAAGGCAGCGTCTCAGAGCAGGTCAACAATCTAAAATAGTCTGACGTTCATAGGAGGCATGGTATGTATAATCAGAAGTATTTATATGTTTATGTCACATCCACGGGCAACAGGGGCGGCAGCATATGAATGAGAACAGACTTACAAACACAGTTCAGGTACAGATCTAAAACTAAAAGCTACACGTTGCACTAAGCCTCAGTTCGCCCCGTAGATGCGTCTCGCCCACAGGGACGGTGGACGGGCTCGAAATCTTCGTCTTTAAACTGCTTCCACGTAGTTGGCGGGCAGCATGCCGGTCTTGCCGGTGCGCTGCACGGTGCCGTACATCCAGCCCTCGTCAATGGACTGCACGTTAACGATGACGTCGCCGTCCTTGAAGGAGACCTCGTCGCTGTCGGCTGCACCGTAGTCGTATATGGCACGCACGGTTTTCTGCAGAGGAGAGAGAGAGGATGAGAGTCAGTGTGTTCAAAGGCTGGTGTTAGTGATTTTAGCTATTTTTGTAATTGTAAAAAAAAAACTTTTCTGTCACTCTCAGATTTCCCTACTTGCTGGTGCAGTGTGTGTGTGTGTGTGTGTGTGTGTGTGTGTGTGTGTGTGTGTGTGTGTGTGTGTGTGTGTGTGTGTGTGTGTGTGTNTGTGTGTGTGTGTGTGTGTGTGTGAATAAGTGCTACTAACTCCAGTGGTGGAGGGGTGTGAGGGGACGGAGGACACTGTGGTCTGCTGGGTGGCCACTGATGAAGACCTCTGCTGCAGCTCCACAGTCTTAGCTTGCTGGTATCCTGCAGGAGAAAAAAACTGATGAATCACAGACTCGTTCTTTTTAAGACTCGGGACAAAGCAGAGAAAAACACATTCACACTGTGAACCATCAGTTGCAGGGATTCGTTACCGATAGAGGAGGCCATGAAGCCGTTGCTATAGAGGGACACGTGGTGGTCGGCGTCCTGGGACACCTCGGACTTCTCGTCGCCCACGCCGCTCAAAGCGCTGGTGGAGCGGGAGTGTTCCTTGCTGCGACGCTGAGCTTGAACTGTGAGAATAGAGTCAGACGTTCAATACTGGCACATGGTTCACAGCTGTTAAATTTAACACATCAGTCATTTTGGGATTCAGAAAGTTTATCCTTGTTCTTCCAGGGTTGGGAACGTGTGTAAACATGGGGAAAATAAATCACTAATGAATCTGAAACATTCTTAAAAATCATTTCTACTTAATTGAGACCTCTGAGCTTGAGCTCCTCATCTCACCTGACATCATGTGCAGACTCCTGGACTGGATGTTGTCCTCAGCGGGGTCGTAGTCAAACACAGAGCCGGGGTTTGTGCGCCACACACGCAGATCTGAAGGCAAAGAGTCGGTTACAGCATCTGACAAACAAATACTAGCTCAGACCGACACATCTCATTTCTGTGACATGAGAGTGAAGACTGTGTTACCGGTGATGGTCTCCTGGTCGTGCTCGATGGCGCGTCTCCTCTCCATCTCCACCACACGCCTCTGGATGCCGCGGTAGTTGATGTCGCTGAAGTCCTGAGTGTTCTTCTTCACGCGTTCGATCACAGGGTCGGAGGTGGTGGGAGTGAAGCTGCCCTTGCTTTTCTCAAAGTCCTCGTGGTATCTCACCTGAACCACACAAACCACAGGTAACCACCGTTCACCCCTGAACCAACACGGTGCAGCTTCCACAGCTTCAGGTGTTTGCAGCACAAATCTATATCTGTGACCAATTTCTAATCGTTAAAACAAACATGCAGGAAATCTTACCCCGGAGATGATGCGCTGGGTCTCCCTGACGCGCCTCATCTCAGGTGTGTCCAGGACGAAGGCAGCTTTGCCCTGGACCTGCTTACGGAAGCTGTCGGAGTACAGCACCTGGTGGAGGACAGAGGACACACGGTGAGTGTTAATCACAAGCAGCCATTGGCATCCACAGCACAAAGGGCGTAGACACATACACACAGCTGCATTACTGGGAAGTCAGACAGATGAATTAGAAGGGACATTTTTCATTAAGAGGTTAAAGTAGTAACTGAAACAAGATTACGTCCCAGTCTTCAGTGGGAGGACGACAGGGGGACAAGATGAAGTAGTTTAAACAACAGGAGAGGTTAGAAGTGATGATGTGCGCAGACACACCACAGCCTCGTATTAAAGACATTAAAGAGAGAGAGCACAGTCGGGGGGGAATTAATATGATTAACTAGAGCCAGGGGACACGTTGGTTAGAGAAGTGTTATCTGAACATTTCTGGGGTAGAACATGTTCTTGAAGTGGATCTGAAGGTACCGAGCTAATGTTTTCTTGGTTCCTTTTGACTCGCTCCATCTCTGGAGTGAACACCACAGGAGTTCCCTTGGCGGAACTGTCTTTATACAAAACCTACAGGACAGAAGCACAGTCAGACACTGAACCATACACAGAGCACACACACACACACACACACCTATAGGACTGGTTTCATAGACACACTCTTACAGAAACAGAGAAAAAGAGATTGGATGATCTCAGAGGAGAAATGCCTTTCACTTTTCAGATTTCACACTTTTTGCTTTTGGAATATTTTTTTTTACAGAAGAGTCTGAGAAATTGGTCCTATAGAGTGATGCATCCTGGGCGCTCCGGTCGAACAGCCAGGATCTGTTGTGGCCACAGGTGTTGAGATAAACACAATATTTACACCTCAGAGATTTTATCATGTCGGGAAAATTAACTTGGCAACACGCAGGGGGGGGGGGGGCTTTAATGTGAAGAAAGCTGGGCTGCGGGTTAGAAAATAGTGTTTTCACAGGCCAAAGAGGAGGGAGTCACTCAGCTTGAGGGGTTGAAGGTGGAGGATTTGAAAGAAAAAAAGGAGATATGGAAAAAAGAAGAAATGCATGGATGGAAATGGATGGCATTGGGGTCAGAGTGGTGATGATGGCAGGGCTGGAGCTTGTTTTGCGTTGGTTGGAGATGGATGAGAGCATGAGATGAGGGGAAGTAGCTTGTTATTGACGGGCACCACTCTCAGCAGTTAGAAGCACACGTGGTTTGGTTCGGTTCCACTACCGAGCTGATGTGCTTCTGGGTTTGTTTGACCCGCTGCACCTCAGGGAGGTCCGGTATAGCTGTGCCTCGACCCATAGAGTCCTTGTATTTTATCTACCCAGCAGGCAGTTTGGGTTTCATGCAGAGAAAGTGGAGGAAAAAAAAAAAAAAAAAGTACAAAGATCAGGTCAATCAGAGACGACAACAGACGGGACGATAGAAAGAATCACAGCACAGCACAAAAACAAATAAATCACAGCAGATGTATGACATGGAATTAAACACACACTTTGTTTTTTTTCAGTTGATGTGACCCTACACGGCTCATTGGAGTTAAAACAGCTCAGACATTTAAACTACTGGTGAAGACTCGGGAGAAATGTTACGAGAGGGAGGTGAAGAGAAGTGTGAGGTCACTCTGAGGAGTACCGTGCTAATATTTTGCTGATTGCGTTTGACTCTCTCCATCTCTGGGGTCTCTGATACTGACGTGCCTTGTCCCACTCCTTCCTTGTACTGAAGCTTTGAACGAGAACGAGCAAGAAAAAACGTCAGATGCGACGGAAACACACTCAAACTTAGATTAGTTTTCTGTTTGGGAGGGAAGGGAAAAAAAACCATTAAGAAAAAAAAATATCTGGGGAACTACAGACGAATAAAAGGAAAACTAAGGCTGGGGGAGGGGGAAGGGGGTTTATGGGACTTCAGTTAGGATGGAGGAGGGACAAACTAGACTTTTAGACAAGAGGTCAGACGGCGTTTTGTGGGATTGATTATCAGGGGATGAAATAAGGGTCACTGCAGGTCTGTTTCTACCGAGCTGATATTCTTCTGGGTTTCTCTGACCCGCTTCATCTCGGGGAGATCTGGTATGGCTGTGCCTTGACCAGGGGAATCCTTGTACTGAATCTGCCCGGTGTAAAAGTTAAACAGGTACAGAGTCAGACAGGGACAAACAAGAAGCACACATACTACAGACATGTCCACTCACGCTAAACAACAGTGAACACTTGAAAAACCACATATATTAAAAGTTCATATAGGACGTTGGTGGTCGGGGATGTTGAGAATGGATAAATTCGGGAAATAAAGGTGAAACTTGATTAAAGGTTTAGATGAAATGGATTATCGTGAGGCAGAATAATCCTACACACTCGTCAAAATATCCTCAAACCAGACCGGTAAAAAGTTTGTGAAACTTAGTGAGACTTTTAGAAAAGTGGGAAAAGTCAGAGGGAATGATTGTAAGGGGATAAAAAATGATTGGTCACTGCAGATCTGTTTCTACCGAGCTGATATTCTTCTGGGTTTCTCGGACCCGCTTCATCTCGGGGAGATCTGGTATGGCCGTGCCTTGACCAACAGAATCCTTGTACTGAATCTGCCCGGTGTAAAAGTTAAACAGGTACAGAGTCAGACAGGGACACATACTACAGACATGTCCACTCACTCTAAACAACAGTGAACACTTGAAAAACCACTCAGAAATAAAATAAAAGTTCATATAGGACGTTGGTGGATGGTGGTCGGGGATGTTGAGAATGGATAAATTTGGGGAAATAAACGTGATACTTGATTAAGGGTTTAGATGAAATGGATTGAATGGAGGCAGAATAATCCTACACACTCGTCAAAATATCCTCAAACCAGACCGGTAAAAAGTTTGTGAAACTTAGTGAGACTTTTAGAAAAGTGGGAAAAGTCAGAGGGAATGATTGTAAGGGGATAAAAAATGATTGGTCACTGCAGGTCTGTCTCTACCAAGCTGATATTCTTCTGGGTTTCTCGGACCCGCTGCACCTCGGGGAGATCTGGGATGGCCGTGCCTTGACCAACAGAATCCTTGTACTGAATCTGCCCAGTTATAAACATTACACAGGGACAGAGTAAGACACAGACACATCCATTCTCTCTGAACAACATACACATAAAGCTGTGACAGCGAAGCCGTGTGTCCTCTATGAATCTGTTTTATAGAATAAATGATGATAAAGACGATGAAGCGGGGGAGTAAGGAGATGAAGGAGGGCAGGGTGACTCTGTGGAGTACCGTGCTAATGTTGCGCTGGTTGCGTTTAACTCGCTCCATCTCAGGGGTCTCAGGTAAAGCTGTTCCTCCTCCCAGATCCTCTTTGTACTGAATCTTTAAGTGGACGAGGAATAAAAGCAGCCACCGATGGTTTAACTCTCGCATAATGACGACTAGGTGCTAAATCAAACTTTCACATGAAACAACACAAACATACGAATATAAAACAACATTTAAATTAACACATTTCTGGACACGAACACACAGTGAACAAAGAATTTAACTCCACACAAGCTCGGCACTAACAACTATAGAACAAACTGTCACGGGTTAGTTGCTTGAATTAAAATGAGGCATATTTAAAAGGTTAAATAAAATCTATTTGGTCCGAAGAAATAAGGGCTGCATATCAGGGGGTGGTAAAAAAATGAGGAGAGAAAGTTTAAAAAAAAAAACGTATTAGAATCTGTTAAGTAAAACGATATTATGAAGTAGATACCAAGCTGAAATTCTTTGTATTCTCTTTAACACGGAGCATTTCGGGAGTGTCCTTTACAGAAGACACTTTGCCCTTTATGTTTTTAAGGTCAATCTGGTATTGAAGCTACAGGGAGAAAAACAAAAGTGCAGTTAAAATGTTTCACAATGACAAAATGAGGTAAACAAAAAAAACAAAAAAAGGAAAGAAACGACTACTTTTCCTAATCAGCAAAAAATGTGTTATTTATTCAAACTCTTCTGATTTGAGGACAAATACTGACACCAAACACTGGACTGAATGAAAATAAAGAAAAACGTACGAAAGACATTCAACTAACAGTACACATGTTTAAAGTATTTATAGATAATACTTTACAGAGGACGTGGAGACATACACGAACACTGGAGGAACCTCTGACGTCAAACGACACGGTGCCCCCGGGGGGGAATTCATCATTTACAAGTATTACTTACAGTGCTGAAGTTCTTCTGGTTCTCACGAACTCTCTGCATCTCCGGAGTGTCCAGGACCGGCACATAGTGAGACATCGTCTTCTCAGCGTCCTCTTTGTACTTTTTCTGTTGGACAGAAATATCACGGCCAAGACGTTTTAAGATTTGTTTGGTTTGTTCATATCGGACTGAATAAAGATGGACGACACGATGACTCGGGAGCTTGACACCTCAGCTCAACACCACAGTCACTACAGGGAAGACTCAAATCAGTCAGACTTCAAGGTCTACGATCCAGGTACAGGGGTAAACTCTGAGTGTTGGTTCAGTTTAATAATCTACCTGGCTGATAATGTTCCTCATCTGCTGAGCATGGATGATGTCAGGGGTGTCGATGACGGATGTGTAGCTGGCTCTATCCATCTCAGCAGTGTGCTTGTACTTAGTCTACAGAACAGAAACAGAAAAAGTGAATCAGCAATAAAAATTCTTGAAATGAATAATAATACTGTTGACGAACATACGGTTTACGGATTCAGACCTGGCTGAGGATGTCAGTGGCGTTCCTGGCCCTCATGAAGTCGGGGGTGTCCGTAGCCAAAGCCAACATTCCCTTGCCCTTGATCTCCTGCTCCAGCGACTTCTTGTACTCTCTCTGTTGATGTTGCAGGAGACGGAGTTACTCACACTCACTTTAAAGAACTGTGCTCAGTTAAAACAGACACAACTGGCAGATTAGGATAATGAGGGAGGGCTGCAAAACCATGTGGCCTAGGGAAACGGTAAATAAAGATGTTTAGAAGAAATTAGGATTTTTTTTAAAAGAAAAGGAAGAAACAGGGTAATTGGACGACAGGTTGTGTGTGAGGCTCCACTCACAACTGAAAAATAAAACAGCAGTGGTTAAGGAGAGTTTGTTAAAGCACAATTAGTTATTATCAACCATCTCTTTTCCTGTCATTCAGGTTTATGTATAAAATGGAGATTAACAGGTTAGCCCTTTACAGTCATTCACTCATTCACAAACATAGTCATACAGTGCATCTTTCTCTATCAGCAATTTGGGGGTTTCAGTATGTTGCCCAAAGATACTTCGCCTTGTGGAATGGGGAAGACTGCAATCGAACCGCCGACCTTCTGGTTAGACAACCGCTTTATCCCCTAAGCCACAGCCACTATGCTTCTATGTGTCCATTCAGACTAAAGTCAGCGCATGTATATCTTACTTAATGGAGCACTACATGTGAATATGACCACTTTAGATAAGAAACACATCCNTTCACCCATCTGCATGAGTCAAAGTCAAATAACAGCAGAAATCATGAGGTTTTGTAAAAAGAAATTTAAATAAGATATGAGTGAGTATATTTGAGGTTGAGTGATTAACCAGGTGCAAAGAAATTAGTAAAACGTGAGAGAAAATCTTAGTGAAAATTAGTGATGTTACGAAGCAGGGACAAAGAGTCAAACCCATTAGTTGTGCTTTTAGTGTGATGACGAAGTTAAAGGGGGAGGGGATTCAGCAGGTGATGAACCCAGAGCAGGAATGTTTGGAAGGGACTCCGATGGGAGCGTGAAGCCACCTCCCATCTCCTCTCAGGCAGTCGTACCTCACACAGGATATGAGTTGCATTCCTTGCTCTCAAAAGTTCCGGAGTTTCCTCCAGTGCAGTTAGACCTTTACCCTTCACACCCTCTTCTAGATCCCTCCTGTATTCTTTCTACAGGACGGAAGAAGAGCAGAGAGACTGCAGAGAAGGGCACGCAGGCAGGCCAGGCCAAAGCATACGTACAGACAGCGGAGTGGCAAAGCTCTGTCGCTTTGCCCTTTGAGCTCAAAGCCACCAAGTGTCCACTGAGAGAAGAAGCTGAGCAGTGATGGATTCAGGGTCAAGTTCTCTTGTCTAGCTTTTTGTATTTTTTTTTTTCTACACAGTGGCGACATTGGTGACTTTGGCAAAAACCTTTATAAAAGACAAGAATAATCACATTTTGCGAAATAAAATGTTGAAACAGAAACACAACAAAACTATTTCACGTCAGTGTTTCACCTTTAAAAACATTGCTGCGTCATTCAAATCATCACATGCATACATGCAGGCTTTTTAACCTGGAGGCTTTTATAGACGTCTGCTACATGAAGGGTGCAATAAGGAGTCCAACGTGTCAGTGGGTATGAAAATAAAGGGAAATATTAACTAACTACTTTCTAAAAAAAGTCACACAATGGACAGAGACAAGGGAGATGGATGTTTCATGAAAAGTTTAGAGTTTTAAAGGGGAATCATGCAAAAATAATTTAAACTGAACTGTAAGGGGTGGACTGAGGGAAGGAAACACTCGTGGTATTAAAAAAAGGAAACAAAAGGAGGGACCATGGCTGTAATGTAGTCTTAGTGTTATTATTAAGGATGGGTGAGGTAAACCGGGGAAGTGATCAAGTATAAATTATCCTTTAGTTACCTCACTGGCTATTTTGGTGGCATGTCTGACATGTATCATGGCAGGGGTGACCTCCAAGCCTGAGAGGTTCTTGCCCCTCATATGCTCCTCAAAGTCCTTCTTATAGTCTTTCTATCGGCCGCAGAGATGAGACAGGGGACAGACAGAGCTCAGGTGAGCACATGCAGGCAGTGCTGGTTCACAATGCAGATACCTCATCCTGGTTTACACCTTTCTGCATATCATGACACAGACGTGTGTGTCTGCCGTCTCTAATGAGTGAGTATAGTGTGTTACTGTGCTACTTAGACATTTGTCAGATGCTGTGAGAAACATACTTTACCTTTGTCACTTTACCTTCACACGAGAGAAAGATTAAGCTATCTGAAATGATGGTATTATCATATATTTATATTATATCACAGTTATTATTATAATATTAGGGAACAGCATTGTACACCTGCTACAGTTTCTTAAGCACAACATGTTAAAGCAGCTCTATGTAACAATTACTGAGCAACAGCGCCCCCTGCAGCCACACCTGGTGAAAACATATGTTGTCCGCAGTGGTTTTCTTGAACGGCATTAAAGACATTGTGAACGTTTTCTCCAGAACCATTCTGTGAGTCTAATATGAACAACAGCCTGACATCCAAAGAGATGACGTATGTCAAAATACAAAGAGGCAGTAGAATAAAGGTTAATATACTGTATAGTGGAGAGAGGCCTGAAAGGGAACGTGTGCTGTATTTTACAGTTACTTGAAGCTCAGAGGTGAGAGACTGGGTGTTTACCTGGCTCTGCATGTGCTGGGCCTCCTTAGCCGTCACATATGTGGGTGTCTCGAAGTCCAGCATGGCCTTACCCTTCTCCTTCTCATACTTCTCCTTATATTTCACCTGCAGCAGAGATGTGATGTCAACAGACAGCTACACAGGTTTGGAAATCAAATGTTGTAAGATGTCTGAGTTGTGTAATCTGTGTAATCATCAAGTCTGCATTCATTTTTGCCAGAGTAAAGAAAGAGAGAAGACAGTTTCAAACCCACAGCTGTGTTTCTGGGGGACGGTGCAGTGTTTATTGGACCTGAGGGATTGCACCACTTACGTTGCTCTGAAGTTCAGAAGCCTCCTTGTGGTGAAGCTGTTCTGGTGTGTCAGGAATCATATGGTAGTGACCCTTACTCTCCTCAAATTTCTTCTTGTAGCAGTACTATGGGGGAATTCCCAGTCAAGTAAGACAGAACAGCTCAGTACAGCAAACGAGAAAAAGAGCGTCTGTCTGGAAGTTTACTCGCAGCCATTACAGTTTATTTTAAAGGAAATAAAAACTGGGAAATCAAAAATGGTTAAAAATAGAATGAATATTATCTAAATAAATGGAAAAGCATGTCGATTTTTGTTAAGTGATAATTAATAAACTAAAGGAGGGAAAAAGACTAAAGGAAACTGAAGAGGTGAAAGAGCAGAGGTTACAGATGGAGATAGTTTGGGAAGGTCAGGGGTCAAGGATCACTACCAGATGAGGTCACAGAATAGCGTCTGTGTGGATGATGGAGCTTTAGTGCATGAGATGGTCAAAGAGCTGCAGCGTGTTAAGTGTTACTGAGGTGGAGGTGACGGAAACGCTGAGTTCAGACACATTTCAGTGACGCGCTGAACGTGAACAGACTCCCAGCAGCTTCCTGAGTGACAGTGTGAGCGGGTTAGAGGACGACGGTGTCTTACGCTGCTGGACAGTTTGCTGGTGCTCAGGTTGTGCTGCATGGACAGAGACTCGGCCATGTCGGTCACAGGCTTGTGGATCTTCTTCAGGTCACCCTTGTACTTCACCTGTTGATAGTGAACACGTGAAAAACTGATTCACGCTACGTTATTCTATGTTTCTATATTTTATTCAACTTGATAATATTTTTATTTTATTGCCTTTTATTGCCTTTTTTTAATTTCATCTATTTATGTAAGTGTTATTAAAGCTTTTACATTTCTGTCAGGATTTTGTTTTGTTGATTGATTTTACAATAGTTTATTTATTTGGTGAGATTGTGAATGAAGTGGTATATCTAATATCTGTGGATATAAATTGCATCCTGATGAAGGGGATGTATATTCATTTTGGAGATTATTAAATGTATTTAATTAAACACACATAATATATATATATATGATATTCAATAGTTTTTTGGGGGAAAGAAAAGAGTGTTGTTTACTTCTAGTAAAGGATTGATGGAATGATGCAGCTCAGGTGGAAACCTACCTCACTAGCCAGCACGTTGGCATCCTTCAGAGTCTTGTAAATCTTACTATCCTTCAGGTCGTACTGTGGTTTCTTTCCTTTCATCTCCTTGTCAAACTTCTCCTTGTACTTCAACTAATAGGACGGGATATACATGTGTTAATACAGCTGGCGGATTTCAGGGAGACAGAACCCAATGGAAGATTTAAACGACTCCATCACACTGGAAACATTTAACAGACACCATAATGCTTTTTTTCCAAAGAGTGTATAAAAAGGGATGAGTTACTTAAATTGTATAGATTCTTTTTTGTAAAAGCTGTGTACACTCTTTTCAATATCAACCCTCAACTTCAATTGTGTCCCTTGTTATACAAGAAATGTGTATCTTGATGATTCACTTTTCCATGCTTCAACTAATTTATATTTATAGTGATAATCATTCCCAGAGTGCAAGAACATCTCAAAGGGCCTGTTCACATCTGCAGTTTGGTTCCAGGCTTACATATATAATGTCTTCCCACAGTGTCAGTGCTGTTCAGTCCTGCAGCGTTTATCTGACTGAAACCAAACCGGTCAGTTGTGGAGACGCCCTCAGAAGCTGTTCAGACCTGAATCTGTATCATGAAACCACTTTGTGCATGGATTCAGCCAAGATGGACTGGAGTTCACACCTGACATTACAATACATCTCAGTGAGTCTCCACCGATGATGTGTGAATGGATTTTTCCAATTTGATTTAATTGGTTTCCAGGCGCTGAAACTTTATTGTTTATTTCTTATGTTTAAAACAAACCACTCAAGATGCTTTTTAATGTGAAGTGTGAACTGAGTCTAATATTAAATTTTGTGATGCACATAGACACAACACGGACTTCATATATAAACAAGTATATATGAAAGAGATCAAACTATGATTGTGGTTGTTTCAGGGGGAGTTTGGAATTTTCTTTAAAAGATCAACCACTTTTAAAAAGAACGTCAGACAGAGGAAATATAATCTAAAATATAATCTTAGAATAAAAAACTTCAAAATCTAGCATAAAAAATGAATTATTCTATTCTTCAAACACATTCTTAACACGTACCAACATCTCAGAAAGACCACAGAGACTGAGTGACCCGGGAGAAAATTGGGAAAATGATTGAACGTTAATTGTTCATTAGCGTACAGTATTGGCACCAGTGGAACTAATGCAACAAAACAATGCTTGTCTATGCTTAACAATGAGCCAGAGCGTGTTAGGTAAACAAAAAAGCAGAGAGCTGCACTAAAACATGTATCTGAAGCTCAGTGAATCCCCCAGTAACATCAGCAATGAACCAATCAGTCATTCAGGAGATGAAGAGAACAGAGAGACAGAGGAGACACACACATATAGTAGCAGCCCATTCATTTCAGGGCATGAACCTCCTTACATCACTAGTCACGGCACTCATTTTCTTAATGTGGCGCATCTGGGGTGTATCATAGGAAGCGGCTCCATGGAGGGAGGTCTTGGCCTCCACCTACAAAGCGCAGTGAGATGGATGGATGAGAACACAGACCAAGACATTATGGAAGGACAGAATGGAGAGAAAAGTAGAAGAAAAGATGGAGGAGGAGGAGTAGGAGGAGGAGGAGGACAGGTGTAGGCATGGAGGTGGGATATGTAAAATGACACGAGCAGTTAAACACGTACGTCTGCTTTCATGGAGTGACAGATTAATACATGGATTCTAAATGCAGGACGGCAGAGGAAGCGTTATGAAAGAGCTGGTAGTTCTTTCGTTAGCCCCCCCTAACAAACCTGTGGATAAGCATCTACCACAGCGTCGCTAATCTGCAAATAGTGGCTCATGGGAGCTGATCTGACGTCAACACTGAGGCTTAAAAGTCTTCTACAGCTGCCATGAATGTAAAAATGACTGTAGACAACCAGTGGGAAGGCTCCGTGACAGATTTGGTTTGATGTACCTGGCTGTTCAGCTTGGACACTTCAGTGGCCAGAGCGATGTCTGGGCGGTGGGCCAGAGAACCTCCACGGCTCGCCGCCTCGCGGGCCTTGTCACGGTAGCCGATCTGATGGAGACAAGGACAATTTATTTTTACAGGCTTTGTCGTTAAAAGCTTTTTTGGAGCCATTTTGTCTTTGAGAGTTGTCAAGCAGGACGTCAGTATGTTTTACACAAAGAGAGCGTGTGTATAGAGTACTTCTGTCTTTGTGTGCAAGTGGTTTTTTTGCATCTACTTGACGTTTACCTCACTGATGAGTTTGGAAGCCTGGGTGGCCTTCCTTATGTCAGGACGGTCAACTACAGAGGTGTAGTGGAGGTTGGCTTTGGCGTCCTTCTTATAAGCAATCTGTGGCAGTGGGCAGGAGAGCAGACAGAATACAGTATACGCTATAAACTGACCAGCTCCTCAAGAGAACATGAGACTGTCCCAACCGTTAGATTGTGCGCTGTAAATAAAATCTGTAAAAAGTTATTTGTGACCACATTGTGGGGATGACTCACACTGCTCTGGCTCTTGGCCACGTCGATGGCATGCTTGACATCAGGTGGAACGCTCATGAGGTTGTACTCTGACTTGCCCTTATCCTTCTCATACTTTGCTTTATACAGTTTCTGAAAAGAGAGAATTGAAGCGTAAGTATGGCAGCTTAAAGATAAATCAGGATAATGAGGTGGGTGATTTTATTTCTGTGAAACACATGTGAGACAGTCGTACCCCGCTGACAAGCTTGTTGATCTCCTTGCTGTGGGCCGTGTCGCGAGTCTCGGGCAGGGTAGTGAACGAGCCCGACTGCATCACCTTCTTACTGGCCGCCTTGTATTTGCTCTGAGAAAGGAAATAAAGATCTTAACATGTATTGTTGTTGCTATAAAAACAGGTGCTGAAGTGAAATACATCTGATAAAGATTTACTCAAAAACTGATCTTTATTCTTTTTACCTCTGATACCAGAGATCGCACAGACTTGGCATGGAGGATCTGAGGAGTGTCATTGACGGGCACGTAATGACCCTTCGCCTTCTCGTACTTCTCTTTGTATTTCACCTGGAGGGCAGAAATTAGTTAATTCTTAGTATTTTAAACAATTTAAACAATATTCTGAATATCTCTGGGTCTTGTAGTAATTACATTTCATTGTACAGTTGGAGATAAAGAAAGGAAAACTTACATCACTGGCCATCTCAGCATTTCTCATGCACAGGAGGGTTAACTTGTCATCCACTACAGGAATCACACAGCCCTTGAGCATCTCTTTGTCATACTTGTACTCAACCTGTGGGTCAAACGATGAGAGAAATTCAGATTGCAGGTTGTTTAATAGGAAAAATAAAGCACAAATAAAGACACAAACAACAACTTACGTCACTCTGTTGCATGGAGTTCTTGGCATTATTGAGGAAGTCAGGTCTGTCCGTTGTCCATATCCATTTGTTCTTGGTGGCTTCATACTTTTTCCTGTAGGTAAGCTAGTAATGAACACAATAGTACATGTTTAATCATTATTTTCAGAGTATGACTCAATAATCAACAGAAATAGGACTTTCCAAATACCGTCACTTACATTGCTGATGTTCTTGTAAGCCTCCTTGGCAGCACGAATCTCATGAGCCTCCGGGTCGATGTTGATCTGAGCCTTGCTCCTCTCGTACACCTCTTTGTACTTCAGCTGCAAGACGCATGAAAAGACACACAGCGTCAAACACAAAGATATGTTTCATAGACTGTGATGGAACCTTTTGGAGTGGGACTTACATTGCTGGTGATGTCCTTGACCTTCTTCATGTGCTGCTGGTGTGGTGTGTCAAAAGGCAAGGTGTAGCCCTTAGCCTTGGTCTTGTTGTGTTCCATCTTGTAGACGATCTGAGGGAGTAATAACAATCAGATGCAATTCAAAAACTAGTAAAGACATTTGAGTATTTCTGGTATGAAAAAAAAAAAAAAGACCAAAACTTACATCAGTGATCTTCTTGCTGCGTTTGTGGGCCTCATACTCGGGAGTCTCCAGAATAGAAGTGAACTTGTCCTTGGCACGCTCATACTGCTCCCTGTATCTCCACTGATGGAGGAGGATGTGAAAACACAAAAGAAGTTAGTATCTCTCATGATCAATTTGCTGCTGTGATAATCTAATTAATGTGTTTTATGAACTCTGACTATGTGCTAAAGTAAATAAACTAAACAAAAACTATCCAAGAAAAGAGCTGAATGAATTGAGAAGAGATGCTGAAATTAGTTTTTGTTTTTTAAAAGTCACATTTGCGCATCAAATGTCCTCTTTGGAGTCAATTATGATGAGGACACTGTAATAATCACTTTCTTAACTTACATACTAAAGCTGAGGTGTAACAAAATTTGATTCTACAGTTTTTCATTTAGTCTTTAAGGTTTTTCCTCGACAGTTCTCTGATGATATAACAGTCTTAAACCATTTCAATGCAATGTGTTATGTAACCTGATACAATAACAGCACAGTGTGTCTGATGAGTGCCATGCATATGATTATGTACAAGAAAAACATGCTTTATGAAACATGCACAAATACAAAATGAGTTATCATCCAGGTTAACATTAAGACAAGGACACGTGTTACCACAAATTCAGTCATGAGAGTCTGCAGTGCCCACGTAGTTCACGATGACCAGCCATCCATCTTATGCTACTGCTCACTGAACCTGAGGCTGATGTACTGAGTGGTTTCTACGAATATGAGATTTAGTCAAGAGAAGACAGTAGAAGGAGTTTGGCACCTTAATAGCGTCAGATAAGAAAGTGGGTAAATGAGCGGTTGCCCATTATCTACATAAAAAGTTGAAAATTAAAATGTACCCATAGGTTTAATCAGTTTTCCAAAAGTAAAACATATATAAAATAGGCATAGATACATTTTATCCCGTCTCTGCAGCTCTAAAGCTGCAATTTGCTGCATAACTGACTCTAAATACGTCCGTCTGCATAAATCAACTTCCGCACTGCATTTTGACACAAGTTTAAAGTTTGATAATCAATGTAACATGAAGATAAATGAATCGGTGATGGAGGGATTAAAGCATGAAAGATAATAAGGGTGGAAGTTTAGGAATTATAGTGATATGAATGGAGGGAAGCGGTTTCTGCAGTGTATTTATAAAAGCAGCCAAGCAGATGAAAGTTATTTCATATATAACTTTGTGATTCTGTCTGTTTGTGGACAGAGATCAGAAATATTGTTCTGCGGCTGTTTACCTTACTGCCCATAGTGGACTGATAAAGGGCTGTGAGGATGTCAGGGCGGTGTAGCTCATTGCAGCCACCCCTTAGGAGTTCCTTTGCTCTGGATGTATACAATACCTGTCCACACACATAACACATACACACACAGCATGCCACAGTTGAGGACAGATTTTTTTAAAAACAGCAGTAACACTGGGAGGGACTGGAGAAATACTCCGGAGATCCAAGTGTGACGAAGGAGCTGTTGTTCCCTCCTCTGTGCCATCAGAGCTTCAAGATTCAAGATTCACAATTGAATCATCACTGAGTGATGCTTCTCTCTGATCGCACAGATGAGGGAGGAGCTGTAATTTGAGTTGCAAATTTTACAATAACCTGTGTGGGTTGAAAAGACAAAGAGAACAGGCAGAAACGGACACATGTAGGGAGAAGGGAGAGAAGTTTATCGTATTATCACAGCCATGCGACGATGACCACCAGAGGCAGGTCTCTCGACAACCTCATGCACCAGTGTCAGAGGTCTGGACCGGACTGGGGGTTGCAGCAGAGGAGGCAGGCCGGTCGTACCACACAACCAGGGCGTTTACCTGGCTCATCTTCCTGTTCTCCCTGGCCAGCTGGTATCTAGGATCATCTGTAGTAATGGTGAACTTATCCCTGGTCTTCTCATAATTAGCTTTGTACACCCTCTGCTCAGAGTCAGATGGTAGTTAGACAAACATTCGGTGAACAACGTGAACTGTCACGTGATGAGACTTCTCCAGGGAACAAAGGAAGGTTAGAACACATTGACATTGAAGAACAAAGGACACATTTTAAACAGTTGATAACGTTATCACACATAATAAGTGCAAGAATTTACCAAACAATACTATTCATTTACTTTTACCTCCAAGCTGAGTCCAATAGAGATGCACAGAGACAGAGAAATACCAACAATGATTAATGCATCTAATTTTAACAAATGGGATTCAACAATATAATTATAAAATGTCTTCTGTGAAAATAATTTTTTAATAGAAAGAATAAAAGGACTCACATCGTTAATGAGAGTGGAGGCGTGCTTGGCGGCCTGGAAGAAGGGCGTGTCGCTGCTGTACTTGAAGTTGCCTCTGTTCTTCTCAAAGGAGGCTTTGTACAGTCTCTGTAGCCAAGAAATGAAACTTCATTAAATCTGCTTGCGCATTAAAAGCACACTGACATTAAATAAGACAACAAAAGGAGTATATGGCATCTTCTCAGCAGTTTATAAACTTAAAGAGATTCTTTACCTCACTGTACAGTGTCTTGTTCCTCTCAGCCTGCACCAGTTCAGGTGTGTCCCACACGAAGCAGCCAATACCTTTCAGCCATTCCAGGTCCTCCTTGTACTTGACCTATAAAAAGAAATCAGAAGGTATTTAATTTAGAAATGCACAGCATGTTTAAATTTGATTAAATGTCCTTCTACCTAACGCGGGTAAATATTTAAACAGCATGCTCAGTACTCACGCTGCTGACGTTGTCATTGGCAATTTTGCTGAAGAAGAACTCAGGACGGTCGGGGATGGACTTCCATGTCCCCAGAGAGTCGATGTACTTCTCCCTGTATTTAACCTGAGGTAAAGAGATTGAGAGATAGACAGTAAGAAAGAGCTCAAAGTGATATTAAAACATTGTCTGAATATTAAGGTGCATAAACATTCATAACAAATGATCAACCAGCTAATTTCTAACTGCTGACCTCGCTGATGTCATCAGTGACTCTGCGGTGGTAGGAGATGTTCAGAGCGTCCTTGACTGTGCGGTAGTGTCCCTTGGAGAGCTCAAAGGTCTCCTTGTAGCGAAGCTGAAGACAGGAAGAACAAAAAAAACTCAGATATCCGTCAAACTTAGAAGCTTCTTCAAATGGATAATAAAGGTTTAATTAATTATTTTCTCGGTAACTGCTCCGACCAGTTAACATCCGATTTCTATTTGCTGTCTACACTAAAAAGAATCAAAAGTGAATATTCAATAAATGAATATTGTAATATTTGTAATGAAGGTTCTTCAGTAAGCATACTCACATCGCTGGACTGGAGGTAGGCTTTCTTGGCACGGATCAACAGAGGTGTATCAGCGATGGCAGTGTACCTGTACTTCATCTTCTCATACTGCTCTTTGTACTTGATCTAAGGGAGGAAACAATTCATGTTACACGTCAGAAATGTGTTTCACAGTACAGAAGGATAATTCAAGGTACAATAGTCCGATGCTTTACAGAGGGAACGAGGAGGTATGAGGAAGACTTACATCACTGTAGACAACTTTCATTTTTCTAGCATGGCCCATGTTTGGAGTGTCACTTTCTTGAGTAAAGTGACATCTCTCCTTAGCGGCCAGATCTGTGTACTTGTACTGCAGAGAAACCAGACAGAATAATCATTAGATAATCGGGAAAAAAACATAAATCTATGTAATAAAACCCCAAAAAATATTTCATTGTGATGCAGCATCTGAACTTGCCTTGTTGGTCAGCTGCTGGGCCCATTTAGCTCTCTGGATGTCAACAGCATCTGCAGTGGTGGTGACCTTTGCCATGTCCTCCTTGCTCTGGGCTTTGTAGATCAGCTGAATATTGAGAAGACCAAAGAGTCAGGTTAGTTATTGTTTGCCTGATGATATAAATCTATTAGTTACAAGTGATGAAATGTGTTCTGGGAAAAAAAACTCACGTTGCTCATGTGGGTCTTGAGCTCATTCACACGCTTGTACTCGGGAGTTTCGAGGACAACAGAGTAGTTGGCAAGGTTCTTCTTGGCCTCCACTGGATAGTCCACCTTTACAATTGAAAAACAGGCCACATAACTTGATACCACTGTACAACGTTCAATATGTTAGGATAATGATATAATCAGATATAATTCCATCCAGAAGGAGACACGTACCCTGAACTTGGTGATGTTGCGGACATGCACCATCTCTGGGGTGTTGTACAAGAAGCAGCCAACGCCTCTGAGCCACATCAGATCCTCTTTGTATTTCAGCTAAAGGCACAAACTGATTTTAACACACAGCTCCTGACAAGTTCATTTTGTGAATGTCTGTGTCCACTCTTCATACCTCGCTGGTGATGTCATTGACGTGGGCGCAGTGCATCAGCTGAGGTGTGATCGGCAAAGAGATATGCTGGCCTCTGGTGTTGTAGTATTTCTCTTTGTAGCACAACTAGGATTAGAAGTGAACACAAATGAGGCATAAATACAACATATCATTTCACCTTATAAAGCTACATGAACAAAAAGAGGAGATTGAACTATGTGAACATGATTCCGTACGTCGCTGAGGTTCTGTTGGTTCATCTTGACTTGTTTGATATCAGGGGTGTCGTAGGTTGTGTGGATCTTGTCCTTCTTGTGCTGGTACTCCTCACGATACAGACGCTGTGGAAGAGAAGACGGCAGAATATGAGCTTGTTTCATCCAGTCAATGTGTCAAAGGGTAATCATGTAAATACCCATCAGCACAGTTTGTTGTCTTACATCATTGACGATCTTGTGAGCTTTCCTTGCGTTGACAAAGTTGACCCCCTCTGGATGAAGAGTGTAGGACTTTGCCTTCATCATCTCATAGGCCTCCTTGTACTTCACCTACAGAAATAAAAGCAAGAGTACGTTATCATAACATTCAGCGCCCTACGTCATCAACTCAACAAAATAAAAAAATCTCAATGTGATTTCAAAGTTAAATACTTACATTGCTGGTGACGGTGCTGTTCAGCTTAACCTGCTTGATGAGCGGCGTGTCGTAGGGCAGGGAGTAACCGGTCGGCATGGAGGTCTTGTTAGCCTCTTTGTACCAGTTCTAAGAGAATCAGACACAATGGGGCGAGACAGAATGAATTTAAATACATTAGATATATCGTATATAGAAGCACAGCTACTGAAACCTAATTAAAAAAACCTAATCTAATGTTTAAACTCACCTCCTATTTGCTACCACAAAAATCCCCAGAATAAACTGAAAAATGCTATAAAGGCTCTAAAAATAAGTGATTGCGTAGTTACACCTGTGATGTCTCTAAAATTATTGCTCACTAAAGCTTAAACGATAGCATGTGTGTTGTCATTGTGCTGGGTGCTATATTTAATATCCACTTACATCGCTCTGGATGTGGTTTGCCAGACGTGCTCTTTCTGTCTCGATGGTAACAGCAGGAGCAGTGTTTGTTCCCTTGACATTAGCATTGTAGTCATAGCGGTAGTGCAGCTGGAAAAAAAGAGAAATATAAACATGAGATGTGAGTCATTGGTTTGGGTTTTAAAATTGAATATTGATAGTCAAGAGCGTTAATTCATAGTCACTTACATCGCTCAGGTTCTGAGCATTCTGCTTGGCCGTCTCATACACGGGGGTATCTGTCACCACTGAGTAGTCCTTGAAAGCCTCAATGCCTTTAGCTCTGTACTTGTTCTGGAAGAGAAACACACGAACGTGGCGATGAGCATGGCCTCTAAATCAAAAATTGGCTGAAAATGATGAATGAGTATGTTGGGTGGACTAACCTCACTCTGCAGATCATCGGCGTGCTTGACGCGAAGGATCTCTGGTGTATCCCAGGCATAGCAGCCGATACCCTTCAGCCAGTTGAGATCATCCTTGTAGAAGATCTGGAAAAAGCAGACATGGAAACACCTGACCTTTCTATCCATCAAAGTTAACATAACTGGCTAAAAACAAGTACAAATGTGTTTGTAATTTTGTAAAGCGATACCAAGAGTGCAGTTACTCACGTCGCTGAGTTGCTCGTTGACCTTGCGGGCTTGGGTGTACACCTGCATGTCAGGAAGACATATCCACTGGTGAAGATACTTGCGGTAGTGGATGCCGCTGACGGTGGACTGGGTGTTGCGGGCAGACACGATCTCCAGCATGTCAGGTGGGATGTGATTCTTGGCCTTGGTCTTCTCATAGTTCTCCTTGTACAGACGCTATTAGAGACGAACGACACGTGTCAATTTCAGCTCTGGGTTTCGGTATGCAGAAAATAATCCACACAGCTTTTTTTTTTACAACTGAGCTAATTTTGCATTCCTCATAAAAACAAATGTAAGGAAGATGAAATTCAACTCACGTCTAGGACCAGCTTTCCAGCTTTGACGCAGCGAGCAGTTGAAGGATCGTCCTCAAGAGACTTGGGCAGACTGTAGAGGGATTTGAACTTCTCATAGTCCTCCTTGTACTTCACCTACAGTGGCAAGATCAATCAGATTTGATGGTCTACAGAGAAATTTCCAGTTTCTAAAGAAAACATGGAATAAAATTAACAGCAAACTAAAAGTTGGACTCACGTTGCTCAGAATGACCTTCTGTTGTTTGGCGTGTTGCAAGGCATGTGAGTCATGTGGAATCTGGTAGCTCTTGTCTTTGATTTTGTCCCACGCGGCGGTGTAGTTTTTCTGTTGACAGAAAACCAAATGTTGTGAATATAATATTGCATGTAAACAAGGCTGAGATCTTAAATCTGTCATCAGCAGATACAGTAAGTTCATCTTTACTTACGTTGCTGAAGAAGTGTTTGAAGTTGTGGCACTTGGCATAGTCGTAGGTATCCAGAACGGTGGTGTACAGGTGCTTCTCCTTGTGATAAGCCTCCCTATAGTTTAGCTGTCAACAATAATTACGGAATTAGTACAGTCAACTGGAGGCGGGCATTTAAAACTGAAATAATATGTTTTAAAAGTGCAGCTCACTCACGTCACTGGCCCAGGTGTGACCCAGAACAGCAGTCACATAAGCTGGGGTGTCTGTTACAATGGAGTAATTGTTGAATTCTTTCTTGGCTTCATCTCTGTATTTCAGCTGAAAGGGAAGACATTTCATTGGTATCTTAGAACAGTTCCACAAACTAAATGATTTAATTGTTTTCTGAAGATCTAATGATGGTTCTACACAATAACATCTTGGCTCAGTTAACTCGTAAACTGTGAATAATGTTTTTCAAAGTTTCCCCTGTGGTAACTCACTTCACTCTGCAGCTCGTAGGACTTCTTGGCACGAACAATCTCAGGTGTGTCCCAGACATAGCAGCCAATCCCCCTCATCCAGTTCAGGTCTTCCTTGTAGAACACCTAATTCAATGTAAAGAGCAAAAAGCTCAAATTAAATGTTTATTAATAGAAAAAAGCACTTGGATTTATGTTCGATTTCAAGCTAAATTTTAAACAAACTTTGTTCTTGTCAAAAACAAAACATATTCTAACTGAATTAGAAAAAATCCATTCAACAGCTCTCAAGAACTTTCAACTAACTATCAACTAACTATATTCCAATATCATTTACTGTATACAAAGATAGTCACTCGAGTACACTGCCTATATATGCAGTATAAAATAAACCAATTGATGTGACGTGAGTCTGTCTAGTCGTCTGCAACACGACACTGCACAAGCAGCAGCCATACAGAACGAAGGACCTACATCACTGAGAATCTCGTTGGTCTTGCGGGCACGAATGGCATCCTCCTGCTCGGGATGACAAGTCCACTGGTGCAGGTAGGTGCGGTAGAGGACGTCACTCAACATATCCTGGCACCTTTTAGCAACTTGGTTAGCAATGACGTTGGGTGGGAGGTGAGTCTTGGTCTTGCTTTGATGGTAAGCCTGCTGGTAGAGCCTCTGTAATATATAATAGAATCAACAGTGAGAGACGTTGCCATTGAAACTGTAAGACAAATCTATATATGTACATGTTTGTGGAATAAACTGCGAAACTAATAACTAACAACATCTTACCAGTCCCTTGTTCTTCTCCTGCTGTCCACAGCGCATCACCTCAGGGAAATCAACCAGGGTTCCTGCCATGTAGTGACCCTTGGCCTTCTCATGGGAATCCTTGTACTTGACCTGAGGGGAAATCAGAATAAAGTCTTGATTTTGTTTAGAAAACATGATGATCCTCTTTGCTTTTACATTTCCAGCCCTGACTACTCAAAAGAAGTGCACTCACATCACTAGCGATCTCCCTGCCCTTCTTGCCGCTAAGAAGTGGGATGTATTCATGGTTCAGCTGGTAACCTGTAGCCTTGGAGTCATCCCATTGTTGTTTGTAGTGTTTCTGAAATTACACAAAGAATGCACAAAGTTGAAATAAGGCCATAAAAATATGTGATATATAATGTATTATATAATGTACAATTGATAAAATTACCTCACTGATGATCTTCGCCACCTCCCTGCTATGGGCCAGTTGAGGAGTGTCCTCTGAACCAATGTAAATACCCTTCTCTGCATTGAATGTTTCTTTGTATTTCAGCTATAATAAAAAGGTTAGAACATTATTTAGATTTGTTTATTCATATGCATTTTGAAATTTATCAACTTAAATATTCAATTTAACATACATCACTGAGGTTGGCAGCATTTATTTTTGCCAGGATGATCTCGGGTCGGTCAACAATCAGGGTGAATTTTCCAAAGGCGTCTTTGGCGCTCTTCTTGTAATGTCTCTGCAAATAGAATTAGAGTGACAAGATGAGACACACTGAGCTGATGTCACATTGACTCGAATAAAAGAAGATAAATCCAAAACACTGGTAAGCAAAGCAAACATACTTCGTTCAGAATCTCCTGGGCCTTCTTGACCTTGACGTGGTCAACAGATTCAGCTGCCATCCATCCACAGCCACGGATCCATTCCAGGTCAGCCTTGTAAATGTTCTGGGGACAGAAACAAAGACACATTTTTGTGGGTGGGTCGAGAATTTTCAGTGAGTTTATTGTGTGAAAATTCTGGATGCCTAGTTTGGTGTAATCCCTGCGAGCACTCACATCACTCTGAAGTTCATATGCTTTGCGGGCCTGGATGACATCGTTTTGGTCCGGCATACAAGTCCACTGGTGCAGACGAGTTCTGTAGCGGTCGTCGTTGACTTGGATCTGGCATTTCTTGGCCAATTCAAACTGAAGCATGTCCACTGGCAGTTTGTACTTGGTCTTGGACCTGTTGAAGTCCTTCTTGTACAAGGCATCACTGGCAATCCTGGCTGAGTTCAGAGCCAGCATGATGAGAGGGTCGTCTTCCACGCAGCGGGCACCAATGTGGTGGCCGAGCTGCTTGCGGTATGACTCGAGGTATTTGTGCTGTAGGACAGACAAACATTATTGTCTCTTTTGTAATGTGTTCTCAGTTAAATAAAAGATAAACACAAGTGGAAATGATGACAACTGTAACTCTAGTCTTACTACTCACTTTACTCTGCACTTTAGTTGTCGAGATGCACTGCTTGATTGGCACAGCATCTCCAGGCATGAAGTACCCTGTGGCTTTAACCTGGTCCCATGCTTTGGTGTAAAGTTTCTACAAAAGATGGAAATAGTTATCATAGGTTTATCATAATACAGCAGTTATGAAACCGATAACAAGACAGGGAAAATATACAGCTCATTGTTTTAGAGTTGAATTATGCAGCAAAATATATCCTCAGAGGTGTAATCTTACAGGGTGAATGTTCTTAGCCACTTCTCTGGCTGTGGCAAGAAGTGGAGTGTCCACCAATGAGTACTTGGTCTTGTCCTGGTGCCAGGCTTCACGATATTTGGCCTGAAGAGAAGGAGAAACCAACATTTAGTGACAGGAAAGTCCTATTGCCAATTATATGTAGGGTGATTTCGAATCCAAACAGGATCCGAAAAGTAGAGTCATCCTCACCTCGTTCAGGACATCAGCAGCATTCTTGGCACAGATCAAGTCGACTCTGTCAGTTGGAACTGTGAATTTCTGGTCATCCAACTTGACACGGTAGCCTCTCTATAACAACAAGAAAGATTAAAAGAAATGACTGAAGACACATTTTCTGGTTAAACAGATGTTTTAAATGTTGAATGAATGATTGTTATGTCAAGTATTTATAAAGTGAGACTGAAGTGTTCAGTAGTAGTCAGACTTACTTCAGCTAGAATCTTCTGTGCGTTCTTCACCTTTATAACGTCCACACACTCATGTGGCACCCACCCACATCCACGTATCCATTCCATGTCAGCTTTGTACACAGCCTGATGAAACAAAGCAGGCAGATTGGTTAATGAGATGGAGTTTATACAGAAGATTCGAGAGAAAGAAAACATGATCATTCTTACAATAATGTATGTGAATGAATGGTGTCTGTGTTCACTACCATAAACCTACATCACTTTGGAGATCGTAGGCCTTTCTAGCCTGGACCACATCGGTGGAGTCTGGCAGACAAGTCCACTGGTGCAAAAGGGTTCTATAATTGAAGTCGTTGACTTGGATCTGGCATTTCTTGGCCAGCTCAAGTGTTAACATGTCCACTGGCAGGTTGAACTTGGTCTTGGACTTGTTAAAGTCCTTCTTGTACAAGGCATCGCTGGCAATCTTGGCTGAGTTCATAGCCAGCATGATCAGAGGGTCGTCTTCCACGCAGCGAGCACCAATGTGGTGGCCGAGCTGCTTGCGGTATGCTGTCTTGTACTTGTACTGAAAGAGAAGATATGAGAGGTTAATGAAAATTCTGTAGACAACTAGCTTGTAAATCTGCTTTTCAAAACCTTATCCATAGTTTTTTTCTTACATCACTGACGATGTCTCTGGAAGCTCTAGCCTTCAGCACAGCAATAGCATCCTCCTTGATGTGGTAGCCTTTGGCCTTCTGGTCATCCCACGTCTTAGTGTACAATTTCTGCAAGTATCATCAAAAAATACTGTAAAACATACTGTCAACACATCAAAATCCTGGGATAATACATTTTAAGGGATTATATAATTGTGTCATTCAAGATTTAGATTCTTAGGTCCTAAGTAATTGTAACTTCAAACTTACATTGCTGATATTGATGGCATTGGCCTTGGACAGTTCAAAGGTGGGGGTGTCAGGTGGTATGTGAATGCTGAGCTTGTCCTTATCCCAGACTTCCCTATATTTCCACTGTTAGAAAGAAACAAAGAAAAACCATGACCTTCTTTGTTTAGACATGTTCACTTAAACAGATATTTGTACAAAATATTTAGTTTTACAGATTTGAATTAATCAGAAATGAAAAGTAAGCATTAGAGTAAGCGTTATTACTCACATCACTTATATTGTCAGCGTTTTGCTTGGACAGGACGATAGCTGGGAGGTCCACGACGCTGGTGAACTTGACAGTGCTGGGTGGCTGGCGGTAAAGCGTCTCGTTGAGAATAGCCTGGGCGTTTCTTGCTTTGATGACGTCTACAGAGTCCTGAGGTGACCAGCCACATCCTCTCAGCCACTCCAGATCAGCTCTGTACACGGCCTAGAAAACAAATAAATACTGGATCAGTTTCAATTTCTTCAAATACCTTTGAGGGATCAAATTAAAAATCTGTTGGATGCAGATTGAAAACGTTGGGCGGGATATGATTATAGGGATCATATTTGTTATACCAGTAAAAGTAGGATTAGAGCTCACAGCTATAACTCCAAACTTGCTTTCCTTACTTCATCAACTTGCAAATTTCCATGTACTTACATCACTCTGCAAGTCGTAGACCTTTCTAGCCTGGACTACATCACTGGAGTCTGGCAGGCATGTCCATTGGTGCAAGTGAGTTCTGTAGTTGAAGTCGTTCACTTGCTGCTGGCACTTTTTGGCCAGTTCAAGTGTCAGCATATCCGGTGGAAGGTTGTACTTGGTCTTGGTCTTGTTGAAGTCCTTCTTATAGATGTTGTCACTGGAGATCTTGGCTGCGTGTGCAGCCAACATAATCAACGGGTCATCATTTACACTTAGGGCACCTATGTGATGGCCACACTGCTTGCGGAAACCAGCCTTGTATTTGTACTGTAAATTAGAGATAATCATTTCTGGTTATTTTCTTCAGGAAAATCATTTCAGTAAAATGAAAAAATGGAGAAGAATGCAGGTTGTATAAAAACAAAATAAAGGGAATGTAAAAACTTGACTTACATCGCTGACGATGTCTCTGGAAGCTCTGGCAGACAAAACAGAAATTGCATCTTTGGGCAGGTAGTAGCCCTTGTTGATGGTGTCCATGTAACCTTCACGATAATATTTCTGGGGTAACAAAAATGATGCTGTCAATGATGTGTCTCATATGATACAAGATACAGAACCAATGGAGCAGACAATTTAAATGACACTAGATGTGATGAAAAAGTCTGCAATCATGTTATCATATCATTCCATCCTCAAGCGTAAGCCTAAAGGATATTTAATAAAAAGACAACAGTTTCTGTAATATCAGTGATCAGTGATATATGAATAGGTTTTATGAATACATAGAGAGGTGCTGCTTTACCAGACTGGTGTTGAGTTTATTCTGTTTGGCCAGGACGATCTCTGGGGTGTCAGGCATGACGTGAAGGTTGGTCTTATCATTCTCCCAGGCAGCAACATAAGCTTTCTGTAAACAGCATATAAACACAGATTAATGACACCCGACTTTAATTATGTCCTAGAACATGAACATAATACAAACAGAGCTTTAGCTCAAACAAGTTACACTTTAATATGTTTCTGTTGATTATATTAATTAGGATGAGCTGTCTCTACCTTATCCATGATCTGGGCATTGGCCTGAGCAAGGGCATATGGCATGTCACATGTCTTGGCAGTGAAGCTGAAGTTTTTAGGATGCTGACGGTATTTAATCTCACTGAGGATCTCTGCTGCTTTCTTGGCCTTTTCCACATCAACTGACCCTATTGGCACCCAACCAGTCCCCTTGACCCATTCCATGTCAGCCTTGTACACAGCCTACAAGTAGGGAGACAAGCAGAGTCACAGTTAGATTAAATTAAACATGAATGTATTCAGCAAATAGAGTTTGACAGTCTCGTAACTTACGTCACTCTGCAGGTCATATGCCTTTCTGGCCTGGACCACATCGTTGGAGTCTGGCAGGCAGGTCCAGTTGTGCAGGTGAGTCCTGTAGTTGAAGTCATTGACCTGGATCTGGCATTTCTTGGCCAGTTCAAGATTCAGCATGTCCACAGGCAGGTGGAACTTTGTCTTGGACTTGTTGAAGTCCTTCTTGTACAGAGCGTCACTAGCAATCTTGGCAGAGTTCATAGCCAGCACAATCAGAGGGTCATCATGGACACTGAGGGCCCCGATGTGGTGGCCCACCTGCTTGCGGTATCCTGTCTTGTATTTGTACTGCACCGAGAGAAAGAGGAGAGTGAAAGTTCAGTGGATAAAAACATGTCACAATAAGAGAGATGAGAATTCAACTTCAAGTTACGTACATCGCTGATAATTTCTCTTCCTCGTTTGGCAGCAATAACAGAGACAGCATCGGCCTTGAGGTCATAGCCCTTTCTGAACATCTCCTCAACACCTTCCCTGTAGAGTTTCTGAAAAGATAAATGAAAACAAATGAATTACCAAATGAAAACCATGATGCCTAAAAAGCTTCTATTCACTGACAACTACACAGAAACCTAGATCAAGTCCAAACAAACCTTGCTGATGTTGTATGCATTGGCTTTGGAAAGCAACATCTCAGGCATGTCAGGGATCACATGAGTCTTAATCTTCTCAGCCTCCCAAGCCGCTATGTAGTTTTTCTATGGGGAGAAACAGAAAAAGAAAACATGAACAATAATTGTAATCACAAGGTGAAGACTGAGTAAATGAACAACATTTCTAAAAGAGGGATGTTCTTTACCTTGTTGATGATATCAGCATTTGTTTTGGCTAAGACCATGGGCATGGAGGTCATGTCAGTCTTATACTTCAGTGTTTCTGGTTTCTGCCTGTAGAGACGTTCATTGAGGATATTTGCAGCATTCTTGGCTTTCAACACATCCAGCGAACCAATGGGGATCCATCCCACACCTACAACCTCATCCATGTCGGCTTTGTAAACAGCCTGTAGGTAAAAGCGTGAACATGTGACATAAAAACACGAGTGTGGTATATTGAGACGTGTTGAAAAATCAAAGAAGGGCTTACATCACTCTGTAGGTCATAGGCTTTCCTGGCCTGTACGACATCGTTGGAGTCTGGCAGGCAAGTCCACTGGTGCAGCCTGGTGATGTAGTTGGCGTGATTGACCTGAATCTGGCATTTCTTGGCCAATTCAAGGCTCAGCATATCTACTGGCAGGTGGAACTTGGTCTTGGACTTGTTAAAGTCCTTCTTGTACAGAACCTCACTGGCAATCTTGCCTGAGTTCAGAGCCAGCACGGTCAGAGGGTCGTCCTGCACGCAGCGAGCACCGATGTGGTGGCCGAGCTGCTTACGGTATCCCACCTTGTACTTGTACTAATGAAATTGGCAGAAACAGATATTTATGTTGCAACTAGAACATCTATTATAATGTGTCAATAATATAAACAGATATACGATGCAGTACAGTCACTCACATCGCTGACAATGTCCCTTGAGGCCTTAGCAGACTTGACAGAGATTGCATCCGGAGGGAGGAAATAGCCCTTGCTAATTGCTTCCTCAAAGCCTTGTCTGTATAGTTTCTGAAAAGAAAGACATCAATTAATACATTTTCTATGCTAGAATTATCTGATTATTTAAATCTATTACACCAAATGGAGGAAAAATTCTGGCATTAAGAAAAGCTTGAGGATATCAAGAATATTCCTGTTAAGTTTGTAGTGGGACTTTGTTCAAGGATCAGATTTGTAGAATCTGCCTTAGGATCCGTTAAGACTGCGAATTCAAGCAATGATATTTAGGTGGTTATCAGTTAACATATCTGATATATTTATATTAAAAGGGTTCCCTTATCTGTGAAAATTATCTTAAATACAAGAAAACATTGTCACACCACAAAGTTAAGAACCAGTCAGGATATAGACACAATTATACTGGGATCGTCTTCCTGTCACGTGCAAAATGAATAATACTCACCTTGCTCATGTTGATAGCATTCTGTTGAGACAGGATGATTTCAGGAGTGTCAGGTTTGATGTGCAGCTTGACCTTGTCCTTCTCCCATGCATCGATGTAGAGACGCTGGAAGAAACCACAGATAATCCAAATGTTATACAGTGTATGCTTTTAACTAATGAGATAAGGAGAGTGGAATCTCCAGTGTAAATCCAGATGACGATCAATGCTACCTTGTTAATGGTCAAGGTATTATTATTTACCAGAACAATGTACATGGCATCTGTAGGGCTGGTGAAGGGCTGGGGTGCTGCATAATTATTTGAATAGGATTTCTCACCTTGTTCATAACATCAGCATTGGCCTTAGCCAGAGCCATGGGCATGTCCTCAGTGGTGATCTTGAACTTGAAGTCGCTTGGGGGCTGACGATACCCTCTTTCACTCAGGATCTCACCAGCTTTCTTTGCTTTCTCAACATCCAGTGAACCTATAG